CTGGCTGCCACACTTGGCACTAGGAATGTACTTTCTAATGGGCCAGATTCGGCCCAAGTATTGCATCTTACTAGGCCCAGGGATATGGCCGAGGCTCGACCATTGTGACATTTCTCGTATGGCCCATGTCTGGCTGCCACATTGGGCCCATGTTATTTTGCCATGCATATGCCTTACTTGGCCCAGTCATTGTTGGCTACCTGGGTACAGTATCATTCTTGTGCAGATTCTTCGAACGATGGGATCTTAATCTCCCCATACCTCACAGCGGGACACGAGAGGATTGTCTATCAATAGTTGTCAGGGTCTTGTCTTAAAAACAACATTTAACGAATTTTTCACAAGATCTTCTGTATGCAGCTTATCTTACCGCCTTCTTTGGGATCAGTACAGGATAATTGCAGGCAACCGGACATTCTCGTATCAAACGTCGCATGTCACACTTCAATTACCCCATTGCTATTGAAATGAGTCCATAGGATGGGCGAATTAGCAACAAAATCCCACGCACCAGATCTTATCTTGAGTGACTTTTTTCCCACGTTTTTCTTTGCATTCTCAGAAACAATCCTCCTCTCATTGATCCTGCGTTGAAACGTTCTGGAATGTATATCTTGGGAATTTTCTTCATATTCATGTTTTATTACGTTGATACATGCGATATATTTAATGTATTCAATGATTATAGATCACGTTTGGAAAATGTAATGCATTTGTTTTCACAAATGAAAAAAGAAGCCGCAAGAGGAAACATTATACAAGTGAACATTTTTTTTTACTTCGCAGGTATGGGCACTTTTTCGGGGCACCGAAGATCCGCTACCGACCTATCTTTAATACCAAATGAAGTCAATATTAAAATACGGGAAAAATACACAACTTCGGCGAAATTATGAAACGAAAAATTCCATTCGGCATCACTGTCTCTCGTACGTGTGATACCTAACTTTCTTCGGAACATCAAGCAATCCACCCCATGACTTTTTCATCAGTACCGCTCACAGCCACGTCGGCAATGGGAAACTTCCTACAGAGCCTGTTTAGAAGAGGCACACAATTTGCAACATCTCATGCCTTACTTGAACGATGCGATAAAAGTAGGTGAGGCTTCTGGTGCGCGGTCGTCCCATTCCCATCGGAGGGGCAAATATGTAGTTTACATGCGGAAGAGAAGCGTAATGAAAACAGTGACTTAAAAAACCCTCATCTCCTGTCACTATCTTCTGCCATCACAGTCCCCCTAGAGACTCTGCTGGGTGAAGGACACCCTGCTCCACCTCTGGCATCTATAAAATGAGCATCCGTCCCTAACGATCCATAGAAATTCCAAGGGAGTCGATAATTTGGCATGCTGGCATGGCTGCCAAGCATTCAATAAACGGATATCTCGTTCACTCGACGGTCTTGTCTCCCGTTCCATTCCCCCACTGAATAATGAAATATTGATCCTCCCCCAATGAAGACTCTATGCCTGTGGATGGATGCAAGAGTACGAAATGCAAGCCTTTTCATTAGTTTGATATGGTGCTCCTTTCCTTTCTCGACTGAAGAAACCTGCCCTTCCAGCAGTTTCTAGCTGTGTTTTCGAGTACTACATCATTGATCAAACTACACATTATTACGTGAAATCCTAAGAGTATAATATTCTGAAAGAGTTGATTCTTTTATCGAAATCAGAGTTATGATCTGTAACCAAGGATAGACCGTGCTTTCTTCATGTTTTCATATTTTTAGAGAACCTCGTATTTCAGAATTTGATACCTCAAGAGGCGAACATCAGGTTTTAATGAATCCATAGGTGATTCATTTATGGAGGCCTCCACTCAGTAATTCTTGTACCGAAGTATGTCAGCGTGCATACTTTCTGCATTTTCTTCAGTTTTGGACCGTTCTTTGCACCAGTTCCTGAAACCTCCAAGCTTTACATTCCAGATGTACTGCCAGTATGTACGTGCATATACTACTAGGTTCAAAAAGTTTCGAGACTCGGGTCACCGTGACCGAACGCTGCGTTGCATACCAATTTAAATTTTGCTGAGCGTAGGTAGAGTTCCACACTACGTGCAAAATAAGGGCATATGGGCTTAACCTCACGTGGCAATGACTGGGTTGCCCCACGTGCAACTCTTCAGCTGTCAGTCGGCGGTCTGCATTCACCTTGCGAAGATGTCACGTTTCGAAGAGTGTGCTAATGTGAAATTTTGCCAGAGACTGTGTAAAATGGCTGCAGAGACCTTTGGGATGCTGAGACAGGCGTATGGGGACAAGACAATCTCGCGCCCTCGAGTGTTTCAGTGGCATCGACGATTCCGAGAAGGCCGTGAGTCCCTGGAAGATGGTGTTGGAAGTGTTCTTCGGCCACGAGGGTATTGTCCATCGTGAGTTCATTCCGGAGGGAAGAACGGTGTATAAAGATATGTACGTAGATGTGTGGCGGCGTCTCCGAGAAGCAATCCGGAGGAAACGACCACCGACGTGGGCAGACAAGAATTGGATCCACCTTCACGACAACGCACCAGCGCACCGATCGCTGATGGTGAGCCGTTACTTGACAGACATTGCCACAGTCTTACTACCACATACCCAGTGGCGGCTCGTCAGGGTAGGCAGTGCCTACCCAGTTTACAATCAGAGTTCTCAAATTAATATTTGATAATTAATTCTTCGATTAACACAGCTGGAAATATTTTTTTTTCATTGCGAGGTAAAAGCAAATCGAGTTTATGCGTCCAGAGTAGGCACGGCGCTGCCTGCCTACGCTGGCTAGGCTCAAATTCCCTCGAGCCCAATGCAGGAACGTGAAGAGGGAGAAATGGAAGAGAACCACAACACTGGAATGAGTGAGGGTAGGCTTGCCTACGGTGCGCAGTTACTCCTTGCGCAGAAAGGAAGGTTGAGAATCGCTTGCTCACGCCCTCTGCTCAGAAGCACGTGCTTTTAGAAGCTTCTGTGGTTGTCACACCTGATCAGACCTATTCTACAGTATTATGCAGACTGAATAAGGAATCATTTCAAACAGGCTTCTGTCAGTCTCAGTTCCCTATTCCTACCCCGCATTCATAGCTCTCTTTGGAAGAGGCACTGTTTCTAAGTGATGTTTTGTAAGACTGACAGTGCTTCGCATCCCTGGGGTGTCTTCCAACGATATAGTTGCATTCATTGAAGGTTTAAATCTTCGTCACGTTTCCTTTTAGATGCAAGTAATTTCCTTGATGGCTAGTTCTGATTATGCTAGAATTGGATTTACAATTNTGGGGGGGGCCCCCCCCCCCCCCCCCTTATTTTTTTTTTGCACCACTGCTGCCTACCCAATTTTTTTACCCACGAGCCGCCACTGCACATACCCCCTACTCCCCGGACCTTTCACCATACGACTTTCACCTTTTCCGAAGAACGAAGAAGCGCCCGAAGAGACGTCGTTTTACCTCCGCAGTAGAGGTGAAGGAAGCTACGGTGGGAGTACTGAACGGGGTCGCTAAAAATGGGTTCCAGTTCTGTTTCGAGGAACTTTACAGACGTTGGCAAAAGGGGACAGAAAGCCAGGGCCACTACTTTAAAGGTGACACAGCAACAGTGTCGTAACGCTCATCGTTTGCGTGCAATAAACCCAGTCTCGAAACTTTTTGAACCTACCTTTTATTTCATATCACGACAAAAATCGAAAGCTTAGGTCCCCAGGTGATATTTTTAGGGTCGCTCAATTATGCTAATTTTGGAGTCCCTGAGTGAGTATAACGGGAGTTGTGCACTGATCCTGCCCTTTGATTCCAGCTATGCTTCTTACGTACTCGTGAGACACACATAATGAATGCAACTTTTCTCTCAAGAGTGAGTTGAATTTTATTGAAAGAAACAAAAGCACTCAGGAGCAAGTGCGGTGAGCAGCAGACAAGCACTGAGATTCTCGCCGAAACCAACATCCGCAGAAAGCTTTTCTGGGATTTTCTCTTCTTCCACGTCTATAGCGATCATCATCTGAGCATTAGTCTTATATATATATATATATATATATATGTTAAAAACTCATGCGTAGTCCATTGTATCCCTCATGGGATATGCCAAAGAAAGTCAAGATGAGGGAGAGGACATGCACTAGTCACCACGTGACTCCGTGACGTGGGGTTTATAGTAGTTCCTCCTAAGCCGATCCAGAGGGGGACATGAAAAACTCCTCTTTTGGGAATATGAAGGCGGATTCGACAAAGTTCACGGGAAAGACACGAGGAGAAAAGTGGTCCACGTCAGCTTCATGAGAGGTCCGCCTCGTACGGGCGATAACAACGAGAGTGAAGTGAAGGTGAACGATCGACCGGCACATCAAACCGGGGGTTCCATGGCCAGTCTAGGTTTGGCGGTGACAGCGGAGATCTCGGATAGTCTAACGTCGATGGGTTTCCTGTCGTCGTATAGAGTCGGGGCCTGCAGGATGATCCCTGCCGTGCCCACAAGCACGGCTAACGTGAAGATCCAAAGGAACAGTCGGTCCAGGACCATGGCTACAAACTTCCAATCTTCCTTCACCTGCAACACGTGTAGTAGACAAAGGACATCAATCTCATGAAAGGCACGAATCTTTTGTCTTTTGTATTCCATTTCGAAAGAAAAAAAGTTCCGCTGGTCATATGGTATGCAGAGGCCGAGTACGCATAATAGCCCAGTGAATCTTGACAATTTCATCCAGTTTCTGTCAAGGACTGGCTAAGGTTAGCATGAATAAGGTAAGGATTAATGGTAAGTATAATGCACATGGAAGGCACGGCAGCGATGGTATTTTCCGTGAATTCACATTAGATGCATCCCGACAGAATGGTATTATTATGGAAAATAGGGCGTACCCTAACGGACTCTTCTTCCTTCCTTGTGTGTTCGGCGATGAACTTGACGCCTTCGAATGCTCGGACCACTTCCGGGCAATAGTGGTAATGCGACGGACTCCGACAAGGAGAGTTCCGATCGAAGTCAGAGAATAACTCTCCAGCAGGTGGAGGCGGTGGGGGTGGTCTCAAACTTCCGTGGAGACGACACCCGCCATTCAGATCCATCCCTCTGGAATCAAAGCAGCACAGTCGATTCAAAGCATTCCGTGTTTCCTTTCAAGTGTAGAGCGGTCAGGAAGGTAAAGGGTTTCGTAATATCCCATTCTATTATGAATAAGTTCGAGCATTAAAAAGAAGTTCCTTACTTACCCCATTATCTCGACAAAGCTGAACCAGAAAATAGCAAATAATTAATTTGTGGCTGCTAAACTTCTCCCCAAATAGACTTGTATGAATCTAGTAACAACACATGGTCGCGTAAGGAAAGTCTCTTTTGTAAAGAAGAAGGAAAGGAGGACGAGGACTTTCCATTCATCTTCAAGGCCTTTGTCTTTTGGAGATTATAATTCCTACGTAAATATACTCTTATCCCCTATATAAGCTATTGTACGAGGGGGGGGGGGGGAAAGCCTATTTCCTATTTTCAAACTGCTAGCGGTAAAGCAGTTCCAGGAAGAATCCTCCTCCTTTGCATTCGCTCACTGTCTTTGGTCCTCTACCTTTACCTTTCGAGTGTCACATCGATAACCTTTTCTCATTATTAGCCCCTTAAGTTATGATTTTTTTTAATGCGAAAATAATTATTTGCCAGCATAGTTGCCTATTAGTCACTTGCAATTAAAATTCTCGTGTCATGTGAATAGCAGTGCTCTTAAATATAAATTAGGCACATTAGCTAGATGCGGTAAGGGGTTAGAGGGCGTAAGATGTCTCACCGAATGTCGGTTCGGGGACGAGGAGGCCTTGGAATGTCAAACGGGGGCGGTTCAAAGTATGAGAAATCCGCCCGGGAATAATAAGCCGAGTGAGGATCTCGCATCTCCAGCCCGTTGAACGTCCTCACCATCACCCTGTAGTGACGTACAATTCAGCAGCTGTACAATTGCTTCAATATGGGTTACCTATTGTTTAACCTATTCAGTCGTGAATAATTTTCTCGATCCCTTTTCTAGGTTCTTTTTGCATAACAACGTTAATAAGCTTGAAAGGAATTGATTCCTTCCTTCCTTCTATTGATGCTTTTTGCGAGACCAGCCACTACTACACGGTATACCAAAATTGGTTGCCATAGGCAGAAATATGTGACATCTGGTTGCTTCTCAGACTTCAGCGTAAGGGTCTCATGATTGAACGAATCCGAGGGTGTGGCACTTGTGAAGTGATTAAAATGTAGTTTCATTCTCAAGTCTCAACAAAGTCATCGGCACCCATCATTGAATGGCGACGTCCAAGTATCTGAAGCTCACATGTGAACTCACATGAGTGATGAATGAGTTCCTTTTCCCTCGATTGCTTCCATATCTGTACGCTGTTTCCATTGAAACTGATGTTTCTAATTGGCTTTTGCTGGGAATCAGAAACAGAAAATATGCGCAAACGGAACTCGTCAGAAATTCAGCAGTTGGCTAAAAATTGAAAGCTAGTACATCTGTCTGACCTCATCTGTAATCTGTCGATAAACGAATGTGAAACTTGTTTCTTTTTTCGAGCGAGAGTACTGCAGTCGAAGCAATTTATGGAGAAGTGATGTAACTTGATGTTTGCATGAAAGAGAGAAACAACGAAAGAAATTCAAAAGTAAATTTTCCCGGTTTGCAGTTGGAATAAGTTAGTATGTTTAGACGAAACAGCAGCGTGAGAAAAGAGGCTGGGATCCGGAGAGACAGACCGATGCCGATCTAGGTGATAATGGGGTCTCTTCATGACAAGCAGGCGAGGGAGGATCTGAAGGAAGACTCTTCGGACCCAAGGTGCCATGGTGTGGGTCTGCGGCGACCGGAAGTGCACGTTCAGTACCACCACCGTCACGCAGATGCTGCAGCATACCAGAATTTCCTCGTCTGTCTCTAACCTTCCTTTGCATGCATGCCTACTCACAATTTACATCTCTTGAAATACTAAAATATTCGACAGTTGAGAGGTACTTCGGCTAGGATTCTTTCGTGCTTCCTATCGAGGGTTTGCAGCTGACGCCATGGAAGAAAAAGAAACAATGGGGAAAATGTGGAAAGTCGGAAGTTTTTTCTCTTACCTACACACCCTTTAGTTGGAGACATTCAACACTTTTCGTTGAATGACTCATAGGCGTTTTGCATTGTCTCCTCCTCAGATGGTCATGGTTTCAGCTGAACACCCTTTTCCTGCTTTTTTTACGATTTACATAATATTCTACATATCTACCATGCAATTAGGCTGATTAATATAGCTATACACACCATTCTATTCTCGAGTTTCCTCGGGGAAAGCAAATACAAACAACAGACGGACTATCCCAGTTTCGGAAAACCTCGATTGGTATTAATCACTCATCTGATCTCCTTCGCCAATCTCAGGAGGTGGTGAAATCCAATCAATTTGAACCTCCTCTTAGAGGGGAATACCTTTGACTTTCTAAAGAGGCAGTAAATATAAGGCATTGCATAATTTTATGACGAGATGCCGCTGAAGCATGTCCATCAACGGTATAACCTCAGTAGAATAAATGTTATAGGCAGAGCATAAAATTCAGGTAATGTATAGAAAACCTAGGTATTCTATATGGACTGTCTGATTTCATACCTGCTTGTAACATATACATGAACACATGAGCACAAGCTTATCAAATATTTGTACGTACTATGCAGAATCTCAGGTGTGACAGGAATACATCCGAACCTTCAAATTTTAGGCAAATTACGTTGGACCAGCGACTGAACTAGCCAGTTACTTTATTACCGAATGGAAGTTGCAAGATATCCTGCATTTTATATGCAGCACAACACAATTTTATTTCATGCATTTCCTAGCCGAGTTGTTAGGCCTACATTGCTGTTTGAAACAATGATGTTCGAACAGCGCAGGAACTTCACGACGGCATCCCGGCGCGATGAATCGAAATGCAGGAACAGTATGGAGTGCGCTAGAGATCTGCAGCGAGCCTGAACGTGTTGGAAGAGGATTTACTGATGCAACACATCATACCTACCGAGGCCCAAGAGCAGAAAAAGCGTTATCCACCTCAGAAAATTACCACAGGCAGTTTTGCTCTTCTCCATCGAGGGACTCGTCCGGGTAATTATAGAATTATGATTCCAGGACCCTCATCTGAAGCACATTGGTATATTGTAGCGAATAAGCTACGGGTTACCGAAGAAGTAGCTAGGCAACTTAACTTATATAGGCATACTCTCGTAGCTCTCTCGCTCGATGCCACAACGTCGAAGATGGAATGACTGGAAATAGTGCATGCAACACATGCACATTCCAACAGGACCAGGCATGCCATGACTCCCATGAGAAGGGGAAGAAATACTCGCTCGTCTCGTTCGACATCAAGTGCCAATTTATCTACCAAGGGGATATGAGAGAGATAACGAGACCGAAGAAGTGAGCCCTAATGGAAGCCGTGCATTCCATGCCCATTTTCTGCAGGGTGTAGGCCCGCACATACATTTTTCCCCATTTGCTGCAACTACAAAAAAGTTGGCGCCCTGCCAGCAGCTTTCATATAACGACCTTCCTGTCTCCAGGTCCCAGAATACTTCATTATTTTTCATTATTAAAAGAAAATGGCTGGCCGCGACGGGACAAAAAATAAATTGCGGAGAAAATCTTTTTTGCAACTGCATATATTTTCCCCCACATGGAGGAAGGAGGATGGCCTTTCACAGGACGGAGGTCCAAGCAACATCCACATGCATGCTTATCTACGTCAGGGCATTTAAAGCCTCTGTCAACAATTATTCAATTTCAAAACCTTCCTCCACATCTTCCCACGTCCAAGCTAATGATAACAATGACGAGTACTTTTTCTTGGATTTTTACACATGAGATGAGAACAAAGACATTGTTTTCTTGATCAAAGTCTCGTTTGCGAGACCAATGATGCAATGTCGATGCGTACACGTGCATTCTAAAAAGAAATTAAATCAAAATGGGAATTGACAGTATTTAGAGATTCCACATGTCGAACTATATCGTGGGAGGAAGTGGAAGAGGTGAAAGATCCTCGGGAATTCATACTCACCGCGACTTTCCTTCGTCGTAGTGCATTTCGGTTCTTTAATTAAGTCCCACTTTTAAAGGCAGTTCCTTCAGGCTGGTTTATTGATTGCTCGTATGCACTTTCCAGGCAACGTTCACGGAATATGCTCGTGGTATCGGGAACATCAAGAATGATGAATGAGAGGGGAAGCGAGAAGAAAAGAAGAGGATGGACATGCGCCGGCGAACCTGAAGGTATCCAAAACCATGGTGAAGAGGACAAATTTGCCAAGAAGAGGGAGGACCTTGGACGTGGGTGGGATTATTTCCGCTAAGAGGAGGAAAAACACGGTGAGGGACAGCAAGATGCTGATGCTCAAACTCACCTACAAGACAAAACAGAGAGAGAACAGAGTAACAAAATGGAACTGAGTATCGCTTTTCTCCAAGATCTCAACTCGCCATTATTTCATAAATAACTGATGGTGGTAAATAAATCAGCCAAAGCTGCATCGACCCGTGGCCGTTCCCATTAGCGCCACCGATCCGAGGAGAGGAAATGAGTGGGGAAGATCCACGGAAATGACTTTGCTGATAATGGTTCTCACTTCGACCGGCGACGTCTTCATGATGATATACTTCAAGCAAGGGAAAATTGCAGCAAGGGGGAGATTGAAGGGTAAAGTGCAGGATAGGAGCTGAAGCGGAAAAGTGCCGCATTTGAGGATCGATGCCATCCACAAAGCCTGCAACATGCAATCGTTCTGGATGCGTCAGGGGGCAAGGTTCATAGTTCCACTCGCGCTCCACTATTTCCCTCCGCGAGTACTTGACGTCATGCTCATCGGGATGGTCCTTTGTGGGTTGCCGACAGCACTTGGCAACGCCTCCAACCGATGCTGAGCCGCCACTGCAGCGACTAGTCAATGATTTCTTTGGGTTTCCTACCGACCCAGGCGTCTTCAATCGATGGGGACCGGCTATTGGACAACTAGTGAGGCAGCTCCCGAACGACCACCGAGCATGCAATCGCGCCCTTTCTCTCTCGCCAAGATGCGAGTTTCATCCCAGCTTGGCCTTTATCTGCTTCAGGCTCACCTTGACCGACTATTGTAATCACAAAACTTCGAGTAGATAGTACTTGAAAGGCGAAAGGCTTCACGTTGTGATACCATCCCTATGTCTGGCTTTTCTTCGTGACGTGAAGAAGCCGGAATGGGAAGTGTACGGATACAGTGTACAGGAGAAAACTCGACCTAAGGCACATCTGGACTGCCATTCGTGATATCCGCCTTCTGGAAAATATATGGAGTCGGCTAATCGGGAGTCGGCTCGGTGGGGCACTGAGCCACTGGCGACCGATCAGAAAACGCGTTCGAAATAACGACCAGTACTTTTCTAACATGGGGAGGAATGCAGTGCAGGCCATCTCAAGTTTTTCCAACCTTAATGGTCTCTCGGACCCGAAAGGAAGAGGGTCTTTCGATCAGGTCTCATGAAGTTTCTATTCTCTAATTGATGGGAGCCATGGCCTTCTATCACGGCCCATGCGGTTCCATCGGAGGGGAATAAGGGGATCTGCACGATGCGAGTTTTTCCTTCTTCCTCTTCTAATGCTTTTTTCTCAGTCTATATCTCTCACCTCAACGTGACGAGGACCATGGCGAAAATGAGGTACTTCCCCAAGAGGGGAAGACTCACACTCGTAGGAGGGATGATTTCCGTCACCAGGAGGAAAAACACTGTCAAGCTCACAAGGATGGAAATGGACAGGTTCACCTGACAACATACATTGCACTTCGTCATTCCTCTCTCCCCCCCAAATATGAACATAGAGTATGGTCGAACAATTTGCCTCCCATCTCGCTCTGTGATGGAAAAGTTCTGCTACGGTTAATAAGTCACTGCATGCATTCAATTAATTACTAGATGAACTCTCTCGTATATATGCAAAAATGAGAACAGGGACAGTGATGAAACTTTCTTTAGGCGAGCTCTTTCCAAACTGCTATGAATCACAATGCGGAACTGTTCTGTCGGCTTTTGTTGATATCATCCAATCTAAAAAGTTTGTGGAAGAGAAGAAATCCAGCTGCTCGGGTCATCCATGGATTCCTCATTTGTCGTCAACGTGGGAACTTAGCTCGTACCTTTCCTTTTCTTGTGCATGGGATTTTTTTTTTAAATCACAGAGAGTGATAATGGGAAATCCTATTTTTTTAAAAGATAGCGAAAAAATCCAAATCTGACCTTTTCTCCGGAATCGGACGGGAGATAGAATACGAGTACGGTGAGGAAGGAGATGCCCATGCATGGTATTATGAGGTTCACCGTGTAGAACAGGGTTTTCCTCCTCATCGTGATGTTGAACGTGATGTCCAAGTAAGGTTCGTCACAGCACGTATAGAACTTCTCGTTCCTCACGGCCGGTACCTCCAGGATGTCCCATTCCACTGACATGTAAAACTCGGAGAGGTCTACGCCGATTTCCACAACGTTTGAGCCCTCTTGCTCGTCGATGTGACGCAAATCCACCTGGAATTGTGAGAATCTTTTCAGAAAACCTCCTCAAAAGAGCTTCTCAAGAAAACACTGTAAGACTCCTCAACGCCCTACGAATTCCCCTCGGTTATCTGACGTTTCATTGAGATATGGTTCTCTTGTGGCCAAATACCGTACCGCACCGAAGACTGATTATTTCTTTTGAAAACGGTTAAATTGGAAACCCAATCCTGCCCAGCTTCTCGAAATCATGGCAAGAATACAAGCTAAGAGCCACGTATCGATTCCAACGCCGTCTGAGATAGCGCAGAGCCAAATGCGAGTGACAGTTTTCATCCGAGCTAAGAGCAAGGAGATTTTTCTATTTTCCTCCGACCCAAGTAGAATGGCTCTTTTTTTTTCCCCATAGGACAGAGTCGCTGATTGCACTTTGATACCCTGACAAGAGTAAAAGTGCAAGAGAAAGGAAAGGGCTTTAGGGCGCATGCACTTTTGAGAATCTGCCTCTAAAATTCACTGGTTTCACGAGCGCATTTTAACAGCGAAACTCATTTCTGACTAATCACCTGTCGGTTCCACCTGGAATAAAATTTTTAAAATAAATCGCTAAGCAGAAACTAAAGTAAGACAATAAAAAATAAAAAAGCAAATATATTTTCTTAAGAATCTATATTTTTTTAAATAATGAGCAAAATAATAAAAACCTGAAATCCGTCGTAGGTCCAAGAGCCGAACTTCATGACACAAGTTTGCTCGTCGAAGGGAAAGTATTCCACGTCGATCTCGCACGAGGACTTGTAAATGGCCGGGGGTTTCCACTCTACCAGGCCGTCGTTATGAAGGGTCGCCTTCGTGGCTAACGTCACCTCGAAGTTCCCATCCGCGCTGCAAGAGAGAGGAAGAGGCTTATCGATTTCATTCTCAACAGATCTTTCTTCTCCTCCTTTTTTTCTTCGTTTCATGGTTGTCAACGATCAATCTTAGAAGGAGTTGGGAAGCCCAGTTCATCCATCACACCATGTATATGTTGTTATATACAAGTTCACATAATTTGCCAGCATTCTCACATTTGATGCCCAGGCTTCGACTTCTCGCATCCATTATGTCAAGCTCAACATATTCCTCTTTGTCGAGTTTCAAATCCGGATGTTCATAGCCAGATATTGACGATGGGATGACATGGTCCACACGCTTCGGAATTTGCTGAAAGAAGTTGGAGTTCCTTTAATACATTCATTATTTGGACTAAGTGTTCGTAAACGGGCAAAATCGCTCATAAAAATGAAATGCCTCTATAGACGAAGGAAATGACATGAAAATGTCTCTGACGAGGACAATCGTTGAGATTGATTGATTCTGATCGTTGACGTAATTCTTTCAGCGGTTCGTTCACGTGGGGGAAGAGAGCGAGCAGTCCAACTCACTTGTTGTAAAGGACGATATCGGGTCTCCAGATGTGGTCAGAAGGGACGTGAAGCATATGCACTCCTCCGTACTCCTCCGGATTCCACGTCAACTTGTAATCGTACCAGTACTGGAATGGAAAAGGACAGAGTTTTCATCGTTGGTCGTGATGTTCCCGTCTTCCTTCGGCCGTTTGCAACGGATGAGGGCCTTTTGTATGGGAAGATGAATGTACTTGGATTGCATCGACAGACGCCCGATGGAAGAAGGAGGAAACAAACGAGAAGGGGCCACCTCGGACGGTGGACTGGGGTGGCAGGTGAGAAATGAGCCACGCTGATTCATCGTCCCTCCTTTCTTTATATATATGAACAGTTTTTTTCTTCCCTTCCAATTTGTCTCATACGCTAGATCAATACCAGTCCTATTTGAAGGAAAGGCTAGTGCTGTTAATGGACCTTGCGTTGCTTAGGCAAAGATTTTGTGCTGTTTAGAAAAATATGCAACTCCATTAAGGTAAGACGTGTGATGTCCTCAAGAAAAATCCATTGTTAAAAAATTTTAGGGAAGGAGTTTCCCTTTTGCGCTGACTATTTGTGTCTTTAATGGCTACTTTGTCACAATGGCAATTTCCACTTGAAACTCACTTTTAATTAAGACGAATAAACCATTTTTTCAGGAGTGCTTCAATGGTTGTCTTCGAGAAATATCTTAAATCTCATTTTAAATGACATCAATCTAGGAATGCAGGATCTGCAGGAAATATCATGTTGGAGAAATGACTAACGAAAATCAAATGAAATGAGTAACATATTAATATTCCAAAGGGGATTCCAAGAAGAAATAAAATGCAGAATAGAAAAGTGAGACTGACCTGTTCCACCCAGAGATTCGTTGTCATGATCTGGTTCTTAAGATTCTGAAAAAAAAGGACGAGATAGGGAGATAAGCAACTGAAGGATTCCGCAAAAATGTGAGTCATCTATGCATGTCAGCCTTTTTCATCTCAGTTAAAAATAAGAAGATGATTGCCTTTCGGTTGAGGGATTGATTTCCTTGGCTGGTGTCATAGTATTCGTGGTTGGCTGCCACGTATCCGACTCATGGGATATCAATCCCCCATAAATAAATATAATAAAAAAGGGAATACGAGAAAGAGATAGAAGGTCTCTCAGGGAATGTGAAAGGGAAAGCCCCTCCTCAATTACCCAAGACCCTCTCGATTATATCCATAATGATGAGGAGACATGAGGAGAAGTCTTCATCTGGTTCTGCCAACCTCCTCCTTTGTGAAAGGATGGATTCTATTCCCAGTCTCATATTTTTCCTTCTTTTGGATTCCCCCTTTTCTCAGTTGAGATATCTTTTATTTTATCGGGATTTCTATCAAACACGAGGAGCAGAATTAATTTTGCTCTCGGCGCATTGATATGAAGGAAACCGACACACCCTCTTGTCTCTCTATATTGCCTGTTTTCTCAAGAAAAAACAAAGGTCGTGACTCATCGTCTTTGCTTAAGCGGCTCGAGCCAACATAAACCGGATTAGTTTGTCTGCCAATCAGGAATCTGCATCCTGGAGAAGCCCACCGTGTAATTGCTTCCATCATCCGGGATTCCCTTCCGTCGATCAAAACGGCCTCCCTTAGGATGAAGAAAGGAACTCACGACATCGATGAGTTGGCTGAGTTTGAGCTTGATTCGGACTGTAAGGGCGTCAGAGACGTTGGTAACGGGGCGGACGAGTTTGTTGTAGTTGGATAAAAGATCGTCGTAGAGCCGCTTCGCGTCCGGGTTCCCGCATGAGCCTGGCGAGGGCAGAAGGAGCAGTAACAATGAAAGACAGGGCAGGAAGAAGAAATACGTCAAAGTTGGGATCCTCCTCCTCCTGCGACTTCCTCTCCTCCTCCTCAACTTTCCTGACCACATCACACTAGCTGCATGTCACTCTCATTAACACGGCCATTTTAGGCTTTTTTTTCTTAGCCTGGTCCTCCTTCCCTTCTCAACACACCTACAATTCATCTTCACGTACTGTAATGTCCAACCTGGTATCATGCATACATACATACATTAAGTACCGTCCTTCACTACTAAACTCTTCGTTGCATAAGAGCAATTTTTCAGGAATAATGACAGATTTTGACATGCTCTCGCTTTAGCACTTCACGAATCAGAACATCACGAAGAAAAAATTGTATTGTTATTGAAAATTCTTACACATAGGATACATCCTACAATCAACAAAACAATACATCTTACAAATATGATACATCCGTACATCTTATCCACGTCAGTCTGTGGTTATGCTAATTATTGTGATATCACGATATCGATCAATATTGTTCTTGGGAATATGTGTGCATATCGCAATGGTCTTGTCCAGCTTCTTATTGCTCCTTCCTAATCATTCTGGTGTGCACACGGCTGATATAGGAAGCACAGGAAGCAGGAAGATATAGGCTGCACATGCAATCTTCTACCCCGTTCTGAGGTTGGCCCTAATCTCGAGCTTGTTAACCACGAGATGGTGATCGGTTCAGCCCCACGCTCTATCTTTGTATCCATCACGAGGCCCTACTAGCTCGCCGAAACAATTACACCATCAATCAGCGGTTTCTGGCACTCAGTTCCGGTTCGACTGTCAGATCCCTGTGCCAAGTATACTCGTAGACTTCTTTGCGATGGGAGAAGGCATTGGTCATGCTCAGACCATCTCCAGCACAAAGGGTTCGGTAACTTTCGACGATTTTCATTCAGTTTATCTTCTCTAAACCGACTGATCGCACCACTTCACGTTACTTCGTCTTTCCCAACTCGTGCATTGGTGTCCCCCAACAGCAAAACGAGATCGTTCGGGAACCCTCGTAGGGCCCCACCTCTTCGAGGAACACATCGTCGTCCGAATCGCCGCTCGGCCTATACATCTGAACGGCGGCCAAGATCCTGACACATTCCAATCTTAGGTGAATCCGTGCGACTCGTCCCCTCATCGGTTTCCATTCGATCACGCTGTCTGCCAGCCGGGGGCTAATGAACATCCACATTCCCACCAGTATCAACAAGGTTGGATCGACTTCGCTCCAGCAGGTCCACCCGTGGTCTAGGAGGCAAAATCCGTGCCTTTCTCCTTGATCGATGCTAAGCTAATGCGTGGTATCTAGTCGTCGCTCACTAGCCCCTTCCGCGAGTTCTGATTTCTTGCAGCCAGGTGTCAACACGTTTCAAGTCCCAATTTCTAAGTCCGTTGCCTATTTCGTTTAATCCATCTGGTTCTGTTAGTGATCTGTCCTGAAGGCATGGAGCTGAAGGTGCACTAAGGCGGATGGTAGGTCGATCGATAGGCCTGGGTGTAGGCAGGGATCGGCACCGTTAAAGAGAGCCCAGTTAGGTCTACGCTTGCGTTCCGAACTTGAACTTAAATATAAGATAAGGATAAGATAAGGATTTAGAATCGTCAAATCCGGAACTAATCCTGCGAAGAAGTTTATTCAAGTTTTTTAGTCTCCTTACATTCTGAAAATAGACCCTCCTAAGCCCTGGGGGAGGGGGCTGCCACTCGAATCGATGCCTTTCATTCTACTTTAACAACCAAGATAAGCGACCATGTAGTTTTCATCACGAGGTGATCTCAAGTTAAATTACGGGTTTTGTTGTCAACCATATCTTCTCTAGAGCTCAAGAGTGGAGTGGAGAGGCACGGAAGACAAAGGGGGCGATGATAATAGCATTAGGTCTCTTCCTCTCCTTTTCCTCATCTTTCGCCGGGCCCGAGGCACAGCCATCTATTGACGGAATTAATAATATTCCCTCTGTCCTCATTCTATCTCTATCCTCCGCCCTTTAATGGGAAAAAGTCCGGAGCAGTGTCTCCTCCAACCAGATCTATTTCCCCGTGCGGGAACCGATGATTGAGCGAGGCAGCGGGCGATATGGAGTCGGTTCTTTTCGTCGGGACGAAGGAAAGTGAAGCGAATGATCGGGTTAGGCTTGCCTCCGTGTCATCGGTGTCGAGGCGGCATGGAAATGTAGAAAAGGGAAAGAGAGGACATTTCGCTTTTGTAGGATCTCAGAGCTTAATGTAGCATGAAAGGGAGATCTTTCGGCCCGCTTCCAAGTTCCCCCCAAGGACGGGCCCTTTCTTCCTATTTTTCCCTCAGGAAGTCAGAAAGGAGTTCAAGCCTCTTCCTGACATTCAAACACGTCGGCAGATACTAGCCGCGCTGAATGTTGCTAAGGCTTTTTCAATGGAAGCAAGGGAAGATGGGAACTATAAGTACAATACCCTCATGAATTATGTTTGCGTTTGGGCACGAATATCGTGTTTGCCCCAATCAGGGGCGGTTCTCTCATACTCTCATAATTCCAATCAGGTTCTCATTTACAGCTCTTTCTACACCATCACTATAATATTTCGAGATTTACATTGATCGTGGAAGTAAAATGATTATGTTCACCTTCCATCTACATTTATAAGATGACGGGGAACGAATTGTAATGTGGACGTACACCGATGCAATAAGCGCTCTTCTAATATGAAACCGGCGTCTGCTTCATGCGTTCTATTAATTATCCAGCGTGGCGCAGCAGAGGTAGTCAACCCTGTAAATCACAATAACTCATTGAGGCATGCGTTTGACAGCAGGACCCAACCAATCACTTGTGCTGACACCATGGGATACACGCAGCAAGATAGTAACTATGGCAACCCATGAGCAGTGGTGAGAAGTAAGGTGTTGTACGAGTAACAATGTCACCGCAACTCGTCACTTTTCTTTGCGGCGAATAATTTTTGCAGTTCCACCTTCTGATATTAAACGATTTACAGCAACAAATTAATTTTTGAATTTTAAGTAACTCACTTTTTCTTTGCTTCTCCCTGTGCTTAGTCCTTTTTCTTTCTGAAAAAAAATGAACATCAATGCTCGGGCTTTTGTGCAATGTGGAAGGGTAAAATTGACGGATGACGGACTTCATCATGGTGTCTTCTGATATGATGCATATTGCAGCAGTAGAATTGGTGACTTTTTCGAAAATTTAATGGATAAGTTAGCCTACCGAGAAAGGAACTAGTTGCGTATTGTGGGAAACAACTTATTCCTGTAAATAAGAGGTGTTGCATAATAGTCAGCCCTCCTCCTGGAGCCTAGCACAAATAACGTGGATCAATTCCGTAAATATTGTAAGAAAGGGCAGTATTAAGCAATATTCTTTGTATCTTTCCATATTGATTCACAAAATGGCAGGTGCTCTGAGTGACAGGGATCGGTTAAGGATCAAATATTTAGGTATGAGTGCGGCTAACAAAATTGCTAAAGATACAGATGTAACCATTACCAAGAAAAAGGGGATTGCAGAAAAATTGAATGGAAATGGAAGTTGGTTGAAACGGAACTAGAACAAACTTTATTTTCAATAAAAGTTATGAAGAAGAAATTCAGATTGCGTCAAACTCTTTGATAGATGATTTTGATTTTTAGAGAAATTTGTGGAAATCTTACCTTGCAAGAAACAGGACCATTTGGAATACACATGGCAATACTAAGTTTTCATATTGCACATGATATAGGGTGATGATAAAAAAGCATTTCAATTTTTGGTCAAAATAAAGTGATTTTGGTTGGATAAATATTTTGCTCAACCATTTAATTAGTTTTGAATAGTAACTTCACTGCCAATGTGATATCTACCTGTCATCTTGGATGCTATCATCATCACAACAAATATCAAGATGAGTGCTTTCTTTGCAGCTAATCAATGTTTTCATACGGACAGAACCGAGAAAAATGGTGAAGTCTACTTTTAAAAGGTTCATGATTATTAAAGGGTCCAGTGCTTCGTCCATCTGGACGGACCCATTAGTCGGTAAAACATTTAGAAATGGCATTCCGTTTGCAATGAGTTGCCAGAGTTGAGGATGCTTAGGCCAAGCCGATTAACAAAAAGAAGGAAAGATTGATATATAACTATTCGGTTTCATTTGAAAACGATACCCTGCCAGATACCTGTGTGTTTATGAATTCTCTTGACATAGGAAACATTGGGGAAACATGCCTGCCCCACGAAACCTGTTTAATGTGAGCACCATTTTACACTTCTGGAGACGCCTTGCCCAGTTAAATGATAAACGTCGTGAAGCATCTCAGGAGACACCATCGCAGCTCGAATTTTGTCCTAGAAGTGCTCCAGAGTGTGACATCGGTTGACGTACCCTTGGGACTTCGCATTACCCCCGAAGAAGTAACGAAGCGGCTTGAGAGGAGGTCGCCTTGGCCCCCATTCAATATTCCCAAGACGACCAATCCATTCAGAGGGGAAAGTAGCATTCACGCAGATAAATAATCACCCTAAAATAATGCCTCTGATTTTTTCTACTGCAGACAACTAGCGGCACGGGAGTTAAAAAAATGTGCACGAAGCACTTCAAATGTCCTCCCATTCTTCACAAAGTTTCGTGATTCCTCCCCACAAAGCTCCACCACTGTGGCGATTCCAAACGGTGGAGTGTGATGACGTCCATCATAAACAGAGTTCCTTACATATGAATGAATATCACCGATAGACATTCATCGCCGAATGAAGATTTTTTTAACGGTAATGTATGCGTTAATCCTCACGACTGCGCGTCGCTGGATGAGTTGTGTGAATCTTCGCGAGACAACAGAGTTTCTATCGACAGTACTCCTTCACACAGGTGGAATTCAATCGTTGCTCTCGTTGTCACGGTCGTCATCGCACTTCACCGTTTTGAACCGCTACAGTGGCTACTTTCTGAGTGGGACTAACAATTTAACGAATAATGGGAGGACATTTGAATGTATCTGCATGTGAATTTTCGAAATTTGTGCCCTTAATAGTTGGCAGCGGACAAAATCGGAGGCCTTACATTGGGGTGACCCTCGTAGCATTTTCCTTCGTTGCGCAATTTCTGAAACATGCCGTCCCTTCACGCATGACTGACCCAACTTCGTGCAATTATTCTTTGTCCGACATGAATCGATCTCACCAGCACAGAGCCATGGAATGCTATGGGGGAATGGACCGCACGAA